TTGGTTGGTAAATTAACATGGAACCTACTCATTCAATTCTGTCCCATCATTTTTACGATATGGTAACCATGCACTGTCATTCTCCATTTTTAATTACTTTTTAGAAAGAAAGTCTGTTTTGATTAAGCATGGTTTTTGGCATTTCCACGCGCACGATTAGCCGTCCATTCATTGACTTAAACCTAATAAAATCTGATTGTTTTTTTGTCAGATTGTAATTAGTCATACATTAATAAACAACTTTTCGTTTTGATTAATGCATAAAATTACTAATAGATAAATTACTGTCACGTTCAACAAGCGAGTCTCCTCTTCAATCTTTCATTTTCGCCCCACCAAAACCTTAAAGTTATTTAATAACTCTAACTAGTTCGATCAGCGTATCTTTTTAGTCTAGCTAGCTAGATTAACTAACCATATTTTTATCCCAGATTTGTATGAATGAACTTCATTTAAAGTACTAAGTGGCTCTTGGTGGTTCCTTTGAGAAAGGAGATCCCTACTTCGAATCTACTTGGAAAGAATAATATTTCCAAAAAAAAAAAACTAAAAAGAGTGTCCAATCCCATATCAATTAGGGTCCAAATCAGAACTTCGTGGCAAATAAAAAATAAATTGAACTAGTAGTAGATTATTTAACTATATTGACTTTTAAATCTAAACGAATGATTGTTTTTAGTTCGTGCAAGAAGTTCTTTGTACAAGAAAATATGAAATCACTATCAAGTGTGTCTTGTACGTGATAATGGTCCCTCCAAAAGAAATTAAAGTTTACACTCCAGTTCTATTTCCACTTGGGAAAACCGTACATTTTTTTATCAGAGAGATGTATGTGTTTTCATTCCCAGAACTAATCGAATTAACCACAAGTAATAAAGAGAAGAAAAAAACATGAATCACTGGTCTTAAATATATATATTTGTGCACAAAAAACTGCTTTAAGATGAAAAGAAATCTGAATTACCGTTAAACCGTAACTACGTACATGTACTTTTAACAACAAGGAGAATTAGGTTTTACCCAGAAAAAAAAAACAAGGAGAGTTTCCGTCTTTTTTCATCGAAGACTATCATGTATAGGACTGTGCGTTCTTTATTTCCCATCGGCAATTTCATTGGCGAACGACTGATTAGGTTTTCAGGGAAGTAGAGCTAGATCATTAGATATTTTATTAAAAACCAATCAGAAAGCGTTGATATCCTGTCCGAAACAATGTATGGGAATAATCTAAAACTTAATTTCATGTTACTGTATGTCCCTTTCGGCCTTTCGTAGTGTCTTCTATGTTTTTCACTCTAGTCTCTTGTTCATTCATTGTGTCTTTGAGTCTTTAATTCGTAAGCATTTGACTTTTCTGTGTATCCGAAGAAAAAATAGCAAATGAGGTCAAAACAATGAAAAATGACAAGATAGAAGTATGGAAGAATAAAAGTCGTATAAAAATCTCAGAACTGCAAAACCAAACGAGAAATATGTAACGGTTAATGAGTTTTGCCATACACTCATTAAGTATTTTAGGTTCACCCAGTGCGATATGTTCGGTGTGTAAATTTTTTAAAAGTTCGAAAGATTTGTTAAGTATTAAAAATCATGACCAGGTTTCACTCATACAATATTAAAAATCACATAATTTTTTTCTCATGACCAGGTTTCACTCATACAATATTAAAAATCATTTTTACCATAGGTCATCCATCATTTAACAACTCCAATTAGAACACATTTAACTTTGTAATTCTCTATGGATCAGTGATCGAAAACTAAATGTTTTCTGGTGACATAAATACTCAAATCAGTTCTATTAAATCTTTGTATATATATAAATAAACATATACCAGAAATCTAGATTGTGGAACAAAACAAGGTACAACTTGGGAATACAGTAAAGTGGCCAATCTGATGAGGTCTGCCGAATGTACAACTTAGAATAACCATTGAAGGTGTGGACGGTGCCGGTTTAAGTGGCAAGGACAAGCAGTACACCCATCCGGGATCCGCCTAAAGTAAAAAAAATTAGTAATATAAAAGGTCCAGATTTTTTTTTTACACGCTTTATTTTTGTGCACTTTCAATTTCATATTGGCATAATAAGAAAAAAAAATATTTTTTAATATTTACAGTGCAAACAAATGAATAAATTTAGATAAGTTGTTATATATATATATATATATATATATATATATATATTTTTAATAATATTTAGATATTATGGTTACCCAACATCAAAAGGGGCGATAAGGTCTAAAGCGCAAATTATGGTTACCCAACATTCTGAGATGAACCAATTGGTGTTCGATTTACAACCTCTAGGTCATAGTAGAATATAGTAGAATCTGTTATGTCGATGGTGCATGGAATGAGCAGAATGAGTGGATAGGTCGGGTCTGGCTCTGTAGAACCATAAGCTCTGATGATAAGATGATGAGGCGATGAATCTCCAAAGAAGTCTGTTACTTTTGCATGTTGAATGTGAAGCTTTGATTTGGGCTATGAAGTGCATGGTGATCCTGCAGTTTTTAGATGTAGTTTTTATAACGAACTATTCTCAATTGGTGAAGATCGTATCAACACCTAAAGAATGGCCAGCATTTACTAAACATATGGAGAAATTGCGACGCAATAAGACTGTCTTTCCTACCTTTGCTATCAGACATATTCTAAGAGCACAAAATTTAATAACGAACAAGTTTTTATGTGGTGAGAGGAGTTCCTTCAGTTATGTTATATGTCAATTCATCACTTCTGCTTTAGTTTTCTGAACCGATATGTACAATTTCTTAGTTTAGATTATTGTTGTAAAAAATTAAACCATTGTATATAAAACGGCTAAATCGTTGCTATATACAAAAGAAATATTAGTGACCTGATCGCATTAATTCATTTATTATTTTTCTTGCTTTTAATATTTCGTCATTACCAGATTTATTGATCCAAATCCTACAAATCGTAGCAGCAATAGACAGAATATCACTTCAAAATATTTAGTAAAATGTATATCTCTTATATTAAAAGAGAAGTCATGACTTATTTCATGTATGATTTTTTTATTTGGACTATTTCGTAATTATTTGAAATATAATGTATATTTCATTTTTACTAAAATTAATCTTTTAAGTATCTAATTAATTATGTAACTATATTTTCAATTAAGTATCTATTATATTAAACTCATGTATTATTTTGTATTGACTTTGTGATATTAATTTAACTAATGTTTTCAATTAAATCTCTAATTTCTAAAATCTAAGATTTGTTAATTCAGAATTTTGTACCACACTGTTGAAAATATGATATCAATATGAATGATCAGGTTACAAATGAAAATTTGAAAATGCATTTATTATATGTTATTAAATATAATAGCATATTTATTTTCATATTTTAATAATAGAAGTATATGACTGCTTTGTTTTAAATAAAGATAATCTAGCTCATATTTATATAAACCATATTCATATATTATTCATTAATGTAATTGTTTTTGTTTCTGTGTGCAATTTTGAAAGTGCAATAGATATTGTACCAATTAATGTCATTACAAAAAATGACAGATGAATGATTGAAAAAATACCATTCATGTGAATATTTTTATTTACTGTGTGTTTATCATCAAATGTAGTCATAGGTTTAAGTGTTAATTATATAACTTGATGTATGACAGATGAAGAATTGCAAATAAAAGCTTTAACATTGAATAATTCATATAAATAATCTAAAATTTCTGGGGCAGTAAATTCTAAACAGCAATAGACAATATAAAAAATCTCAAAAAGATAGATAATAAAGAGAAAAGATAAATTTAAAAAGACAAAAAAACACAATATAGTACAATTTTTGGTTTAATAACTTTAATGAAGCAGACGTTTTATAAATTACACTTAATAATTAATATAGGTTATTCAATCAAAGATTTAATTCATACAAATAATTCAGTTAACATATATATATATATATATATATATATATATGACCAAAACCTAAAATAGAAGTACGTACAATCTTAAGAAAATTAATATCTAAGTTAATATTAAATTGAATAAAATTATTGTAAATATCACATAAGTTTTAGTTAGTGTTCGTGTTTTCATAAAAAAATATATCATTAATAATTTGAACAATAAATTGAATTACTACATACAAACTATGAAACTGTTGTATTTGAAAATATTGTATTAAACTATTAGCAATATGGTAAATATTAAAATTATATACCACTAATTATGTAAATTTAATATTTGTATAAAATGTAAAATAATCACCTGCACAATTGTGCGGATCGTATCCTTACATCTGTAACTATAGTTTAGGTGTAATCTTACAATTAGTTATGTAATAATAACGAGTCGAACTAATTAGAGTTTTTTTTCTTTGATCGTAGACCTGCTTAAACAATTGCTCAATACAACTATACACTGATTATTGATAAAACATGTGTATAGGTCCATGATTTTGGGATTGATACATCATTTTGATAGTTTCTCCTAGTTATTTCTCGTTTTCATGAATTCATTATTTTCTTCATCTGTATTTATTAATAGTATCACAGGTACATTTGAATTCGGATTTATCTCACCCGACGGATGAATCTAGTTATGATCTTCTTCCTTTTCCTAAAGTATACATAACACCATACCAAATACGAAAAAACATGCTTATCCAATACAATTATTGGAGGATGTATATACTGAGTTACTAATGACAAATATTTTTACTTATCTTTAAATATATAGACAAAGACAAAATTTTATTTAGCTCAATAATTAGCTGTTCATATCTAAAGATATCATCAAGACCTGGTTACAAAAATACTTTATTCCAAAGATGATTATAATGTATGATTGGTTAACATATTAATTATATCCATTACTTCTCATGATCCTATAAATATAGACATCATCACTGTCCTCTCAATCATTCCTTCAAACAACATTACTAATTGGATTTTCCTTTAAAGATTAATCTTTTGATAAAGTTGTGTAGTGCTTTACTTCTCAAAAAAAATGGAAGCTATGGGAGAATGGAGCACCAGCTTAGGCGGAATGTACACAGAGGAAGCTGACTTCATGAATCAGCTCCTTGCCTCTTATGATCAACCCTGTGGCGGTTCGTCCCCAGAGACAACCGCCACAGTCGCAACATACCATCCCGAAAACGCTCAATGGGCCGGCGGGTTCTGCTTCTCTCAGGAGAGCAGTAGCTACAGCGCTGGGCATAGTGGCTACTATGCGGTAATGCCACCGCGAGAAAAAATCAACAATGGGATGGAAGATGTGACGATCAACACGAACTTGTATCTGGTGGGTGAGGAGACGAGTGAGTGTGAAGTGGCGAAATACTCCGCTAAGAGCCTTCTGCCTTTAGAGACTGTAGAAGAGAATCATGATGAAACCTCATTGGCCCCGGAGGATGATCAGAAAATGTTCAACGCATGCGAGGGTTCTAAGAAGAGGTCGCGTGCCATAACAACTGACGTAAGTTGCATATATTGTATTTTATTATATTTTTAATAACATAGCTAGGTGGTAACAACGGTGCTTGCATTATAAAACTATAGTTTTATATATTTTTTGTGGTTATAACCAAATCAGAAGAACAAGAGAACCAGCAAGACACGGAGGATTCAAAAAGTCATGGAGATGAGTGTCAATAATAACAATAGCGTCGGAGAAGTACAGACGGAGAAGGCTGGGAGGAAGAGAAACACCAAAGCACTTAAGATTCAGAAAACTTGTTATTCGGATGACGAAGCAAATGGTGAAGACACTTCCTCCTGCAAAGAAGGTGGTGAAGACTGTAAGGCTCTAAACCTCAATGGCAAGACTAGGGCTAGCCGCGGCGCTGCCACCGACCCTCAGAGCCTCTACGCAAGGGTAAGTTTTACGTACCAATTTTTCCAAACGCATTAATGTATTTTGTATACAAAACTTTTAAAGAAAAAGCTATTTATCTACATATAATCGAGATGAGCCATTCTTATGCTATATAAGATCTCTGTTTGCATTAGGTAAAAGAACAACATTTCTTACGTATATTACCAAAAAAAAACATTTCTTACGTAAGGCTGAGAAATTAAACAAAGTCCGATCTTATAACGGTGCAGAAAAGAAGAGAGAGGATAAACGAGAGGCTAAAGATTTTACAAAACCTCGTCCCTAATGGAACAAAGGTATTTCATGCAAATGTTTTTTAAACTAAATTAGATTCTGACCTGAATTTTTTACAAAGTTATAATGTTATATTTGTACCATAATATAATGAATCATATTTTATACATTTATATGTGCTATGATATAAGCTATGATATAGTAAATCTTGTTTGATATGTAACATCATATAATTAATGACATATTTTTTTATCTAAATAATATATTATCTACATTTTTGCGTATTTAATTGTTGTCAAATAACATTTAAAAATGATGTTTTCATATTGCTAAACACAGGAAAATAGATAATAACTACATAAAAGACCAAATATGGTCAACTTTAATGTTTTCTAAACAAAATTAATTTACATTTTCAATTTACATCTGTTTCAGTAAGAAAATAGATTCAGTTTAATATATAGAGTTGCAATATAAATATATAGTAATGTGAGAAACGTTTAGTGTACAGACCAATTATAAAACATGGTTTCAGTTTGCCATTAACAATTTCCTCGTAACTGGCTAGAGAATCGAAGTGATTATCATTACGATAATCAAATGACATGAACTATGTATCTCTGATGATGGTCATTTTGTATTGGAGGGTTGTTGGTTTATATTGACTTTGTCGCATTCCAGAGATTTTGAAATTTTCAACCATTTTCCATTCTCCACGCGGTAGTTCACTTTGAACACGATACATCCGAGATTTGCTACATGATGCATGGATTTTTTGACCCTGCAAAATAGTAGTATCTATATTATTAAAATTTTGACATCATACATATAAAAAAAAAAATAAAACTTTTTGCTCTTACAGTTTCGTCAGAAAGGATGAAATCAAGAATTTCTCCACCATATTTGTTCTTCGGTTTCCATCAATGAAGAAACTTGAGACGAATTCACCATTCATCTTTTTAAGGCATGAGATCATTGATAAGAACCATTTTTCTTGCGGCAGCCATGATTTTATGTTTGTGTATGGATGTTAGTTAGAAGCGATATATATGGATAGGTAAAGAATGTAGGTTAAGAGGAGTTACGGTTTCCATAGATTTTGTGAGAATATTACGTGCTTGAAGAAGTGGATATTCTGAGATAACTGATTTTATTAATTGATTTGTTTCAAATATATGGGAAAATATATGGTAACTAATTTGGAAGAGAAGAAGAGAGCCGTGCGGATTTTAAGGAAGTGTAAGATATGCTTAAGTTGAGTAGTGTATATTCTGAGCCAACCGTAAAATTTTATTCTTTTTTTGTATGTTTGGTTGAAGGAATAGTAAAATCAATTTTCTACTTCAATTTTAATAATATAGATATATTATTATAATATAAATATTTAATAATAATTTTTTTATCTGTACATAATATTATATTTAAAAATTTATAACTTGATGCAATTATATAATTCTATTATTCATATATTAACCTTTTTGTGTATGTATTTTAAAATGAAACAACATACTAAAATTTTTAATTGTTTGCATTAGTTTTCTTTGAATTATTATTAGTTTTATGATATTTCATTTTTTCAAAATTGAACTCTTGAAATTTTAATATTTGACTAAACTAAATAACGTAATACTGCATTTAAAAATTGTTTTATATAACAAATACTATATATTTCAGTTTGTGTTTTTAATGTCACCACAAATAAACAACAACCATTGTAATTATTAATTTAAATTTATATTAAATATAGTGGTAGAATCTATAAATTAAAAAAATACAAAAGAAAATATTTAATTTATTATAAATAAAATGGCTAAATGTGTAAATAAATAAATTACTTATCTGCTATTCATGTTTCCAAACAGTTTTCATTTATTCTGTTCATGTTTCCAAATACTTTTTCATTTATTTTGTTATTCTTATTTCTAAACAATTTTGTTTTATACTTCAGTTTTAATAATATAGATACTACGTAAGGACATCAATTATTTGCTCGAATTTATGTCTTTACTAAGACAGTTATATGTGTTTAATATGTAACAGGTCGATATTAGCACGATGTTGGAGGAAGCAGTACAATACGTCAAATTTCTGCAGCTCCAAATTAAAGTACGTTAGGTTTTCAATTATTTGATGAAGTCCACTATATGAAAAATTATACATTAGGCATTACTATGGGAATTCGATATATATATATATATATATATATGTATGTATGTATGTATGTACTTCTTAGAATTTTAAGTTTTAGAAAAAAATATATTAGTTTAGAAAAAATCTTTTTTTTAACAAATCGAAACTTTAATTTTGGTAAAAAAAAAATTAACAAAAATAGATTCTGGTAAAAAAACAATTATACTGTAAATATCTATTTATTGAAATGCACAAATCTAAATAATCTTAATAATGAATAATGTTACAGTTGTTGAGCTCTGATGATTTATGGATGTACGCGCCCATTGCCTACAACGGGATGGACATTGGCCTTGACATGAAACTCAACTCACTCATTTGATTTAAGAGATAATCGGACATTATTCTAATTTTATAATAACGTGAAATGTAACAGATTTCTTTTCTATTCACGAGCTCCAATATAAATTCCTGTAGGATGTTTAATACGCGAGAAATCTTTACTACTGTGTGCAAATCAAGATACAGATACCCAATTTTTTTTGTGATATTTCAAATATTGGTGTACAACATTTTTGATAACGGTTTCGTTTTATTCATGTTATTAATTGGTTATTGTTCGTTTAAGTAATCCAAATAATATTCTTAAATTATCCATAAGTTAAAATATGTAAAAGAAGTTAAAGTTTCAATATCTTATATATTAAAACAGAAGTCATGACTTGATTTCATGTGTGTTTTTTAAAAAAATGGACTGTTACTAGAAAGTTATGTTACATTAACTCTCTAATAATATTATCATTATTATATCTTATAATATGTTTAACAATTTTGTTTTGGTAAATTACCCCACACCTTCCAACTTAGTCACGCAAAATATGTCAATAGTTATAAATTTAGGAATCTTCTATTATTTATAAGGAAATATGTCAATAATAGTTAAATGTATTTACAACATATTAACAAAAATCACAGATTAGTAATATGGAATATTTATATACCCTAAAAAAATTTACACGCTATATATATTAGATAAATTTATTTCGATGTAAATTTTTAAAATTATATTATTTCAATAAAAAGAAATTGTTTAAAAATTATTTTTTAATAAAATTTTTAGAATATTAATTTATGAAGCTATAAGTTTAGTTTTTTTGCAAAAAATTCTTCGAAGTTTATATTATCTTTGAAAATTAAATTACACTAATATTTAATCAAGCTCTATTTATATTACTTTATCTAAAAATAAAATACTAATCTAACAAACAATAAAAAATAGAAGAAGAAACAAACACATATTTGAAAAAACATGTATAATATAGAAAATTTGAAACAATCTATTTGATTAAAACACTTATTATATAATATTATTATGTTTGAAAAATATTTACTATACATATCGTAAATATGTGATTACTATAATATATACCAATTTAGTGAAAACAAAATGTTTATATAACTAAATATAAACGAAAACAAACACCCGCGCGGTTGCGCGGGTCAAAATCTAGTTAATATTTAATTATATATATATATATATATATATATATATATATATATATATATATTAGCTAAACAATAAAAACATTTTTTCTTAAAAATAAATTATTCATATACATATAAATTTTCTCATAAAATTCTCATGTTTTTTAAAATAAAAACCAGATATTATATTTTTCTTTATTTTATAATCTTTTTATGTTTAGTATAATTTCTAAAACTCTACAACTGATTGTTCGTAGGCCTTGATTAACAAAACCTTTGCAAAAACATTATGGTTTTTGTTATCCAATTAACTATTATTAGAAAACTATTTAGAAAAAAAAACCTTAGAGAGGTACAAATATTCTCAAAAACTCTTTATTCATTGACTAGTGGTTTGTCCACACTTTACATGGAATGTAATCTTTTGTTTATGTTTACGTGGTGTTAGTGTATTTTGCTTTTGTTTTTAGACATTTTGGATTTGAAATTAAATGTATGGTTGATGTTGAGAATTGTCTAAACAGTTATGTAATCCGTTTGCTACAATTCGGGATTGATTTATGTATTGTTATATTATGGATAGTGAAATGCAATGAGGTGGTGGTTTATATTTATGTGTATTTGTTTCAAACTATTATAATAGTTTTGTTTATTTAATTGTTTTATTGGATTCCATAAAGTACGAATGATTATTTTATTATTATCTTCTATATAGTGGTTCACTTCTTGTTGCTTTAATTAGGTTTAGTTTTCTATTAGTCTAATCATAATTTTATGTGGGATTAAGTTCAAGATTTGGTTGTATAGTTGTACTATTTATAAACATGGATGTTTATCAGTTTTATTTTATTTTGTTGAGACATGTGATGTGATATTGACCGTTACAACGTTTGGTTAACGTACGGATCAAGTGATTTATTAATTTGTTGTCAGCTAAATTTGGGAGTTTGGTTTTGCATTTCATTTCATGGAATTGATGTGCAGTTGTGTAGTGCAGTGCCATCTCATATATTTTGATAGTCTAAAGCATTTCAAAAAAAAAGTGTGTGTGTTTGTGGAAACAGATCTTACATTTTTTCTTCTAATAATTTCATTCACATTTTTCATATATTAAATTTATCAACCATTTGATAAAAAAAAGAATTTATCAACCATATCTTTTATGATATTATTTATATTTTGTTTAATTTTTCTAGGATTAACTAAATTATAAATACATTTTTATTACTTTCAAATTTTTAAAATTATGTTGAAGAGACATAAATTAGGATTTTCACTCGATAATTAGAAAATAAAAAAAATATGATAAATGCAAAAGTTGCTAAAACTAATATTCAATCATTGTGAAGAGAATGTAGACGCAAATGTCTAGTTGTGTCTACGGAAAGAATCAACACTTTGTAAATAGTACGGTGAGAAAGTTCTTTTAGTTTGAAAAAGAACATTCTTTTGGTTTTTTTTTCTTTGACATCGAAAAGCTGATCTATTACTCAAGCTTGAGGTGGTCTGGGAATCCAGACCGGAATAGAACAACCAACATACATGAGATCACGATAAAAGGATCAGGCAGTCTTAGCTAAATGATCGGACACAACATTTAGAGGTCTAGGTACATAAGTGATCTTAAAGTCAGGGAAACAAATCCTCAACGTCGAGATCCTCTCTAGTTCCGTCGAAAATCCTGGCCATCCATGGGGGTTCGCGAGCATTGCTAACAATTCCTTGCAGTCCGTCCCAAAGCTCTGACATGGCGAATGTTGAAGCATGTTCTCCATTGCCCACCGCAGTGCTTCCAGCTCAGAGTGCAAAGCCGACTCCACCCTCCTAACATTACGCATCCCCATCAGCTGACTATTTCCCATGCTATCCTTCCAATCCCAACCACAACCGGAAAATTGATCTATAGAGGTCCAAGAACCATCTATCATACAAATATCACGTAGACTTATGGCCTGACGTTCAGTATCGCCGCTCTCTTGTGTAACCACAACATCCTGCTCATTAGCTTGGAACCACGCAAGACACTCACTCTCTGCTAGTTCCAGAGGGTCTGTATCTATTCCTCTGAACAGCTTATCATTCCAAGCCTTCCAGATGTACTATATTATCCAAGGATAAGAATCCCTGTCTAATTCTGACCCACATATGGTCTTTTTCCGCCAGAATAGATAATCCATATTCGAGTATGTGCTCTCCAAAGGGAACAATATTGAACTGGAGGGTATAGATGCTAAAGCCCACACCTGTAATGCCGGTGGGCATTGGAAAATTGCATGTGCAATTGTTACATCCGGTTATCCGCATCGTGGGCAAAAGTTATCGCATCTCATGTGTCTATGATTCAGCGCACTCGTAACAGCCACCTGCCCCGAAATAATCTGCCACATACACTACAAGAAAACTAAGCCATTACTAGGAAAATTTACTAGGAAAACATTTCCTCGTAAAAATACTACTAGTTTACTTCGACTTTACGAGGAAACATCTTTTCCTCGTAAGGTTCTCGTAAACTTACGAGAAAAGCGTTTCCTCGTAAAGTGGAAGTAAATTTACGAGGCTCTTACGAGGAAAATATTATTTTCCTC